TAACTGTACTGCATGGCTGAGGTGAATGTGTGTGTCTACCATCTTTCTATACTCTGGGGATGTCTGGACTGAGTCTTGGTTTCATAGTTTGCTTGTGTTGATTAATTTTTTAGAAACATTTTTGCAGAAATAAATAGTTTATGAGCAGCTTCTTGGTTTTGTGTGAGAATGAACATGACGTAGAAAAGATGCCTCCAGTTAGTTAAAATGAAAAATTTGTTTATTACGTTGGTTAAGAAAAAGAGACCATTTGTTTGTAAAGCTGAGAGCAAACGGTCACCGTTTCTCCTCTCCGTTTGGTCTGTTGCACTATTCATGAATGGGTCTCTTCCACTATTTATGAGTTCTTGAATATTCCTTTAAAAACTCTTAGGACGGGCTGGAGTCTCAGAGCGTCGCTCGCAAATTGCTGCAGCATCTGTCTCATCTACGCAGTCGTGGGACCCGAGAGTCATAAAAACAGACCTGATAAAAAGCCACAAATGAAATGCACAGAAAATGTCAAGTCCTCATTCTGTCTCATTCCTTTTCTTTTTCTTATTCTTCTCATTCGTGCTTATTCAGGTTTCAATAATTCACACGTGGCATTGGTGAAATGATTGTCATTCCCTCTTCATCTGAACTACCATGGCAACAACTGATGTCAGAGGGAAAATAATGTTTAGAAAACTGAAGACAGAACTCACTGATATCTCTCAACCTGGATTTGAGGGATGATTAGTTATTTATTTTATTAACAGGTGCAGCTGTCATTACTATCATTACATCTGGAAGTATCACTTATTGTCATCATAACAACTATTGTCACAGAGCTTAAATATGACAGTTCCACAATAATTCCTGGTCTCTCTCTCTTCTCTCTCCGCTCTTTACCTCCTCTCACTCCCATTTCTCTCCTCTCTCCCCAACCGGTCGAAGCAGACGGCCGCCTACACTGATTCTGGGTCTGCCAGACGTTTCTTCCTGTTTAAAGAGGAATATACTTCACTCCACTGTTGCCAGTGTGCACTATTATGAACTGTTGAGTTTCTCTATAATATTGTTAGGTCTTGATCCTAAAAATGAAAAGCGCCTTGAGTTAATGTGTGTTGTGCTTCGGCACTATACAAATGAAACTGAATTGAATTGTTGGATTGAGTAGTCTGGAGGTTTTTCATTGGCTGCACATAAAACATCTAATGGACACTTACAGTAAATTAATAATTCTACTTATGACAATATGTTTAGCATTTTAAAGATCATTGCTACTATTTGACTACTGTTGTATTCCTGATTTGTCCAGCTCAATATTCCAGAATAATTTAATGCTCTTCTGATTTTAAATAGATCTTGGGTGCACCCTGTTTTTTTTTGTTTTTTTTTACGCAACACAAATCTTTGGTTCTTTAAATATGAAAATGTAAGCATTAAGGATTTTGAATTGTTGCCATGAGCAGAAAACCTGCACGCAGCAACTTTTTATGCCACAATTGAATTTATTCTGGACTCTATGAAGAGTGACAGTTGAGGGGAGCAGGCTGATGTGCCTCCTCAGCATAAACTGTGGAGAGAAGCTCTTTTAGGCAACCTCTGGCATTGATGTTGGTGCTCCATCGATAGATATCCGACCTACAATCTTTTACCCTAAAGCAGAGACAAATCTTCCAATAGTTTCATCCTTTTACATTAAGTCAAGACATGGTATGATATTAAAATGAGGGGTTTTCTGAGCAATTCTGAACATTTAATACAAACAGCAGAAAATGCTGTATCACTGTTTTTCACATTTGTGTTTCACTGGCTAAACAGATGCACAAAAGTTAAAGTAACCATTATGTTATTCTTTATATTTTACATTTCCTTGTGGATAATTTTACATTGGAGACATTAAATAGAAATTAGTATGTAACAGGATGACTCATGAGACCCAATCCTCTTCTTTTACACTCCACTAGCACAGATTTCTTTGTGATGTTTAGCCAGTCAGCCAAATGCATCTTAGTCGTATCTTTATTGTCAGGCTTTCCTTTCACGATCACGGTCTTATCAAGTTGTTGTTTTCATTGATTGTCAGCTGTGGTTTCTCTCCAGCACTGCTCTGTGAAATCTGTTCAACAGTCAATCACTCTCTCATGTGATGTCACAACAGCTTCCGTTCATATCCACATCCATACAGGTATTATTGGTGATAAACTGTTATGACCCATAATGCGTGGTGCATTATGGGAGAAAAAGAGTGCTGGTGCCTGCAGGTAATGATGTTTAGTGTAGTAAAGGTCACTTGTGGTAAGTGTTCGTGTTCCCGTTCATTGCTGTAACATGACCATCTCAGTCTGATGGTGTAACCCACAGATCATTTTAAAAGATGGATGACACTTTCTCGCACTGTCCAGAAATTAAGCTAACAGAGTTACAAACACTGCCATCTTGGTGACAACTCACCATGTTTGTATACCAGCAAATAAATAATTAAAACCATTTGTAATGAACTAGGCAACCAAACCCTATGTGGTGTGTCCTTTTACTTTTTAATTTGACCCATGTCCCATTCATTAACATGGAGGAGGCCAGGTTAATAACTTATCCGCAGGCAGCCACCAGGTGGCAATCAAGATGATTTGGCTTTACTTATGGAGAGCAGTCATGGTGTCCATCTTCAGTCTATGGTGTGATCAGGTTTTTTGTTGCTCTCCATATATGTTTAATGTCAATGTTTGATTTGTGCCACCTGAATAAAAAAAACTAAATACGATTTTAGACAACATGATTTTCTGCATCTACACACAGTACAGTTTATTGAGATTATGGTTAAATTTGATGTTATTGGCTTTCAGCTCGATGTTCCTACAGAGCTTACTGGTGGATTGTATTCACAGATGCGCTGACCTTTCACTGTGGGAGTGAGGTGAGTGCAAAAGGATAGACTGCATTGCTGATGTACAATGCAGCAATTAAAGCATACAATACATAAACCCTATTCAAATGAATTAAAGGCTGTGTAAAAATGTAATCTGCACCGCACCTATACTCCCAGGTTTTCTTCCACAGTTCACATGCAACACCTACATTATGTTTTACTGAAATATAAATAGTTCACGGAAAGTAGGACGCACTAACACTGTTTCAAAAGGAAAGCACACTCAAATAGACCAAGAAACAAACAGCTCATCATTAGAAGATGATGGTGACAAAGTCTTGTGTGTAGAGTGGAAACTGGAAAAGGGATAACACATTGTAAACTGGGTGTCCCATTTTTTGTGACTTCGTATTTAATAATAGACCACACTGTAATCGCAAAAAAAGTAATCACAGCCAGTAGCAGCAGCGACTCACAGGAAAGTGTTGCCAGAACACACTGTACCTTGCCTGTTTCCTGGATATTGGCAGGACAGTGTGACGTTATTGATCTCTGTGGTCTGTGTAGCAGCATATTCAGCTGCTTAACAGAAAAAATCAGATAGCTGGACATAGATTAGCATGTTAAGACATAAATGCCAGCTACTTTGGGCTGGGTCAGTCTGCCGTCAACTGCTGCTCAATCTGCTGGATTGTTTTCAAAGAACATCCCACACACACTGACATTCTTTAGCTTCATGGCTTCTGGAGGTTTGAGGTTTGGGATTTTTATTCTTCATTTAGAGAACCACAATAGTTTTAACAGGGGATTATATTTGTATTGAGGTTTTACACAATTATTTATTACTAGTGCAGTGCCTGTTTTAAACCTGCCCATTCTCTTGTCCCACATTAAAGCTCCAGAGCTACTTCAGAATTAGTCGATGTCATTAGTGAGTCCTCTTCAAACAGATCTGCAATATACTGTCACTTTTTGTTAAAACACTTTATCCTACCTGGTTTATTTGCTTTATATTCAAGCTTAAATGATTTACAGAACTGGTGTTATTTTTTAATTCATTATATGTTGGCTATTTCAGAGATCTGTTAAACAATTGACACAATCTTTAGACTCATGTTCACTATGTTTCAGAATAAAAGCTAATTCCTCTCAGTTTAATGCACTGCAGCAACAAAACAAATATTGTACTTTTACTTTGAAGAC